ATGAATGGAACGACATGACCCCGGACATACACCAGCGGCTGCTCGTCTTATATTTAGATCAACTTACATCCAACGAGCAAGGGGAGTGGAAGGAGAAGTTCTTGACGATGTTGAAAGAGAGCGAGCAATACTCGCCAGCGAAGATGTTAGATCGACTCGATCGAGAGGGTACGTCGCACGCTACCGTGAAAACAAGCCATCACTGACATATCCTAGATCCCAATTTCTACGAAGCCCGAGCTATTTTATTTAGCAAGATGGGCCAGCACCGACAGGCGCTCGAGATCTACGTCTTCAAACTTGCGGACCACGAGAAGGCGGAAGAGTTAGTGGTTTATCATTTTTCCAAGAGTAACAATGACTAACACCAGAAAGATACTGCAACCAGGTCCACCTTGCCGAAAAGGCCGAAGAAGAGAATTCCATCTACCTCACCCTCCTTTCCCTCTATCTTTCCCCGCCCCACGGCTATGAGCCCCAAAACGACCCCGCGATTGACCTGCTAGCCAAGCACGGCTCGCGCCTCCCAGCTGATTCCGCATTGAAACTCATACCGGACACACAGGCTGTGCAGAAACTCGAATTCTATTTCAAGGGCCGCATGCGCGCTGCAAACTCGGTTTTCAATGAAGCGCGCATCGTGGCAAACCTGCGCAAGGCACGGGATATGCAGATCCAAGCCCAGCTCGCTCTTGGCGAGGGAATTCGTGGCGGAGGCACGCGGGCTCGCCACGTCACTGTCACCGAGGAGCGCATTTGTGGCGTCTGCCATAAGCGTTTGGGTGGGAGTGTGATCAATGTCTTCCCTGAGTAAGTCGGTTCCGGTCATTTGTATTTTTGGTCTGTTCATCGCTGACTTTTTTCTAGTGATACTGTGGTTCACTTGGGGTGTGCCAATCGAAAAGCCAGTATTCGAGCTGGGTAGGGTGCTTGCTCTCCTGCATCTGCATCCACGGGGTCGGTCTTGTGCTTGTTGTCGTTCTTGTCCATAATTTTCTTTTCTTTTTTTTTTGGTTTTCCGGGTCGAGATTCTCTTTTCATTTGGTTCGTTTGTGTCGACGGAGGCTATCCCTGCGACTTTGATACCCATAGCATCTGCTCATTTCAAGATACATTCTGGTCATGCGATCATGCATCGTCCTCAACCACCTCTTCTCCGTAATTTTCCTCCTCCTTAGCTTCCTGTGCCGAGAGCTGGCCCTGCACCTTCTTGTCCTCTTCCATACGCTCCGTAAGGAAAACGTTGATCTGGTCCTGCAGCTTGGGTACGAGCGACTGCAGCGCTGATAGGTGGGCTTGCTTGGCCGCTAGTGTGCCAGTTGTGGTTGAGATCACATGCTCAAAGGTCTCAGTGGCTTGAGGGGCGGTGTAGACTGCATTGAAGCTCGTGTTGGAGGCCATTTTGAAATTCAACAAGGGAAGTTGGGGAAATTGTTCTGGAGGGGGAGATGGCAGAGAATAATGTCCCCAGCTAGGATACCGCCTTTCTTACCGCCTCTCCGCTGATCTAAGCCTCATTACCCGACCTCGGGGCTTAGCACTTTTTCCCCAGGACTCCCGCTTTCACGGCTGAGTACTCGTACCCAAAAATTATATATTACTTGATGGTACTTTGATGATCATACGGTAGCATTTCCGGGGCTAATCTCGGTTGGGTTCTAGTAAGGCAGTAATACCTAGTCTATATGCGGCCTGGATATAATACTAGTGAGAAAGTCGTGGAAATATGGAACATGAAACAGAGGAAATCTGCCAGATAGACAAATCCAAGTGCAAAGAACGACCTAAAGCAGTGAAATTATCTACAAATATAAATCGTAAAGCTATAAACTCCGCTGGGTTTAGATCATATCAAAGCTTAGCAAAGTCTGCGCATCTTTCGTCGATCTGAGATTCTGCCACATAGAGAGGTAGAGGAAGGGATCGGCGACTGTCCAGATGTGGCTTTTGTAACGTTGTAAAGAAAAAATTTCGAAAGATAACTCGCCTAAAAGAGTCAGACAGAGCATGGACTATCCGTTATGAGTCCTACCTTCCGATCCCCAAACTCGCCTGGGCGTCAAGTACCTCCTGCCCCTCGCTACCCCAGACCTCCATCTGATGACGAAGAGGAAGACGACTCCGATGAAGACGAATTGGTTCGCCCCGGCTCCTCCGGTAGTGACGCCTCTTCTAATGTGACCACCGTTTCCGCCGCTCCTATCACTCCGATCAATACTCAACTACCCTCCGGGGGTTACTTCCCTCCACAACCACGCTCAGCCACTTCACCTCATCACCCTATGCCGAACCCAACAGCCCGAAGGCCCTCCGGCCGGGGCCCCTCCGTCGAGCTACCCCGGCACCGATCACGGCATCACTCGCAAGGTTTCTTTGAGCCTTCCCTGCCGACCGCCTCCTCCGACCAGGTCCCTACCGTGTCAGCATCCCGTATCGCCGCCCAGGCAGCCATGCAGCAGACAAAAAGGCAACAAAATCCTATGGCCCAGATAGAGGATAGTTCTCGTCCCAGGCGCAGTGGGAGCAGCTCGCCTCCTCTCATGCCTCCTCCATTGCGTCTCAATCAACCCTCCCCACAACCGCCTCCGCCATCGGGGAATGTGGCCACGACAGCTGCGAATGTGGTCTTCCCGCGAGCCGGTGCTCCACCGGTAGAACAACAGCCCGAGAAACAGAAGAAAAAGAAGCTCTTCTCAAAGCCAAAACACATTGGAATCAGCAGCCATAAAGATCTGAGCAAAGACCGTGGTCTTCCCTCCCCGAGCAAGATTAGTGGGCTATCGCGCATGGTCAGCGGCTCGACTACAAACGTGACCGACTTGTCCTCGAACAACTCGTCGATGTACAATCTGTCCAATGCCTCCGTGAGCACAGTCGTCCCCGCAGATCGTCCGCCGCTTCCAGAGAAGGAAAAGGACAAGGATAAAGACAAGCACAAGCATCATTTCCTGTCGAGGCAGAAACTCAAATTGAAAGATCGTGTGGAAGACCACTTCAACCTCCCTCTATCATCGGCTTCGAGCAATTCTCGTCCGGCAGACCCCAATGCCCCACAATCTCTATACTCCTTTACACCTGCGTCTCCGGCTCCTGGAGCGACGTTTGGCAAGTCGGTCAGTGGGTTGGATCTCCTGCATGGCGGTCGAGCACTGCGTGAGAAGAAAAAGGAGGAGAAGGCGCTCGCTGAGTCGGAGCAGATGGAATGGCTGTCCAATAATGTTGGCGGGCCCACGACACCCGGTGGCTTCCCAGGCCCGTCTTCGGCTGGTAGTTCGGGGACATTCCCCGATTCTATTCTCCGGGAGACCTTGCAAGGGTTTGGGTTGAATAATATGACCCCAGAGGATGCGTGGGACTTCCTTAAGGCGAAGCTGCTGGTCATCTTCGATGGTGAAGATGTGCGCATTGCCATTGAAGATCTCAACAAGCTGGTGCTTGTTCATTTGCAGCGTTGTGTCGTTAAGAGGGCCCCTAAGTCTATTATAATGGACCTACAAGAACTCCTGCAAACTGGATTTGCGACTTTGAATCACAGTTCGCTGATTGGCCTCCCAGATGAGAAGCTGGTCCCGCATCTAGTTCAAGTGTGGCTGCTGGTGTTTGGCACTATTCTGCCCTTTATCCAGGCTGTGTTTCTCCCCTTGGATCTCGAGTTCAAGGGCTGTGGATCCTTGATGACTATCCGGGAAGCCGGTGAATTCTGGGGTGCACTGCCCATTAGTGGAACACTCGATGTGCGAAGTCTAGTCTTGATTGCCTTCCGTGATTGCATGATCCTGAATCGCTACGATGCCCTCAAAGCAACCTTCTCCCGGCTCAGCCTGGACTCCATCAACTCCGGGTTCCCAACACTCAGCGTCACAGCCAAGAGTACCGGCACTGGAGGCCGTCCTGGCACTGCAGCCTCGCTCGATGCCGGCCTCAGTAGCTACAACTCGCAGTCATCCACGCTTCTCAGCACCGTCGCCGACAGTTACTCCTCCGACGGCATTAGCGCCATGGCCAACCACCCACGTCCAACAAGCAGTGACTCTCGCAGTCGCGCTACGTCGAATACATCTTCCAATGCAGATCCCCTCTTCTTCCAGTCCCTCGCATCGCCTCCAACCTCTAACAAACGGTCTGCGCCCACCATAATCCACCGCGGCAGCTCCGCCGACACCTCCCACATCATCACAGAGACCGTCGGCCGCATGCTGCAATGCATCAGCGTCCTGGCCAGCGTGCAAACAGACGACTCTGCCCAGGAGCGGATCGAGATTCTTAGCAAGGCTCTCAAACACAACTGGCTGGGCCGCGGCCGCACAGGCCGTGATCGTCGTGGATTCGTCGGTGCCAAGATCCGACCTGTGATGGTCGGCGGTCCTCCTGTGATCGACGATGCAGATTCCCTCACTACGGCTGGCATCAGCATCGGTGCTAGTACTAGTACAGGGGGATCCCGGGGCCGAGGTGACTCGTCCTCGTCGGAATGGAGTTCCAATGTTCCCGGGCCTGGCATGAGTGTACGTAGTGGTGGTCGGCGGGAACTGAGTGTTCTCTAGCTTTGTGTGTGTTTTTTCTTCTAGCTACTCGTTATGATTGTATGACGGCGGGTGGGTACTTTGGCAATAAAGGGGCGTCTCTATTTTTTCAAGGAATTGATATCCTGTCTCGGACATTGTCGAGCATTGTCGAGAAATTTCATCTACTATGCCATTCTACTCAGGAAATTGTGTAAAATCTTACAACTTTTTTTTTTGGTTTGATTTGTAGATACAGTAACTTTTTTTTGGCCGTTTTGTGTTTTGCCCTTTTTTTTGTCCTTTTGACTCAAATGTGAAGTCATATCCAACAGTAAATCTGACAGTTAGTTGTCGCATATGGCACCCAGGGCCCGGCCAACTAGCTACTGGGTAAAATCATCGAATATGCATATCCATATCCATATCCACCGGAAAAGAATGATGTCTCACCACGCCATCCATCTCAAATAACTCAGACATTAAAGGGCAAGTGGCTTACTTTCGAGCCTTCCCCTTGCCCTTCAAATCGACCTTACCAGACTCCTTTAGGATCTTGTATCCAGCCTTGCAAGCCGCGCCGGAAATCTCCCAGCCAAGCTCAGCCGAAACCTCCTCGGCAATCTGCGCAAAGTCCTGGTCATCAAGATCCGGATCGAACGCTTGCAAGGTATCCAGAAGAGCCTCCTATTCAATATGTCAGTAATCGGATCAATAGAACAACTATTCATCCTCAAATAAACCCCAAAGGGCATCCGAGAGTGAGGAGGTCAAAGGATCAAGTGAATACATACATTGAAACCGGGCCAGAGACCAATTTTATCCTTGATTCGTCCCCATCGCTTGCTCAGCGCTCGCCATGTCATCTCGTCGTCTGCGTCAGTTCGATTGTCGTTCCATGCAGTGGTGATGTCCGTCCACGACATCGACTTCGTCTCTCTCATCTGTGACATCATCTTGTCTGCGGTAGATGCTGTCTCCCATGACTCTGGGGTTACGTTGCCCTTGGGGTTCTTCTTCGTGCTGGAGATTGGCATGGCATCGGAGCTGCGCAGACGGCGTGGGGAAACATCGGCCTGGGCCTCTGGAGTAGCTACCCCGGTCTTCACCTTGGTCTTGGAACGACGGTAAGATGCTACTGAGGCTGGTGCGGGCTTCACGGGCTGGTTCTTGGAACGGTGGCGTGTTGATGTAGATGGAGGAGTCGCGGTCTTGATCTTGGTTGAGGCAGTGCGGTGCTGGGTCGAGGCTGAGGCTCTGGACGAAACCGTGGTTGATGGCTCCGGAGTTGAGCTCTCTGTTTTGGATGAACTGTGTCGGGCACGCTTTGTGGATGAGCCGGTGTCTGCTTGGTCTACTGACTGCAAGGTTCTAGAGGCGGCTTGAGCATGAGTGAGTTGGTCAGACTCAACTGTATCAGGTTGAGGTAGACCAGGCTGATCGCGGCCGATAGCAGCCCAATACTCAGGCTGTAGAATGTCCATTGTGGCACTGATAGCTTCAATCTCATCCAGATCACGTCCTATATCAGCAAGTGTACGGTAATGTGGCTCTTCTTGCCGGGCATACATGTACGTCAGAGTATCGGTATGGGGGTCAGCCATCTCACGCAGGACCTCTTGCTCGGACGCCAGGATGCGTGCATACTCCTCGGGGGTGTAGATACCCAGGGGGTCAATGGTCAAGTTGCTGTAGTCAGGAGTCTCCTCGGGGTACATGAATGTGGATGGGAAGACATTTGGGTCTTCGAACGGGGTGAACCCTGGCATAACTGCAGTAGAATATGGCTGGTAAGGATCCATATAAGGGTCCATTGAAGGGTCCATTGAAGGATCCATGGAAGGATCCATGGAAGGGTCCATTTCAGGGTTCGGGGGTGTAGAAGGGACGAAATCCAGCGTAGGAGACGGGTAACCAGCGTCGTGAGACGGAGCTTCGTCAGAGCTTGAACGAGGCTTGGGAGATTCGCTGGTAGCGGGGAGCTCCGAGGTAGGATTGATACTAGTCGATGCCTCGTAGTCAGAAGAAGACTCGTGGGACGAGCTTCCAGCACTAGGTTTAGGAGGATTCATGTTGGACTCGGGGATGAAAGAAGACTCAACAAGCGTGTTTTTAGCAAATTTCAGCTGATCAGAGTCAATTTTGGATGATTGATTTCCGGGTTTAGCAGAGGACGTATGATGCTCGCTGCTGACGGGTCCGGATGGATCAGTTGAAGGAATGGCGTCCAGGGTGGACTGACGAGGTCTCTGTTTAAAAAACAGTCTTATCCTGACAGGAGGGACAGTGGGAGTCACGTCCTTGGAGCGTTCCTTTGAATTGACAGAGTCTGTAGCAGTCTTTTGACGAGCAGGAGAAGGAATATTAGAATCCGGGGAGTCCTCACGAGGCTTTTTGTTGAAAACAAGTCGTATTTTAGGAGTAGCAATGGGAGTCACATCTGCAGTACGTTCATCTGCATTCGTAGAGCTTGAAGTGGTGTCCGAGTCCGGGGTGTCCTCGCGTGGCCTCTTTTTAAGAACGAGTCGTATCCTAGGAGTGGCAATGGGAGCTACGTCCGCAGCACGTTCATCTGCATCCGTAGAGCCTGTTTTAGTGTTCTGACGATCGAGAGTTGAAATAGAAGCACGAGAGGTATCTCGAGAAGAAACAGTGTGACTCGATGTAGGTAGGTAATCCTCAGAATTCCCTCCAACTGGAACAAATCGAACTCGGGTCGATCTAACAGGAGTGCTCGGAACTTCGCTAGTTATTCGACGAGAACGGGTGTTCCACCGAGAGGGCTTCGGGGAAGAATTAGATGGAGAATTTGAAGCCTTGCCCTCTGAATCGGACGGAAGTGAAGGTGGATTAGGCACAGGTGTGGCAGGATCACCGTCAGAGTCGTTGCTGTCAGTGGTTAGCTGAGGGGAAAAATGAATCTTGCAAAAAGGGACATTAGCAATTGGATAAGAAGGCGAGGCTCGGGACTTACCGAGCTATGGTCTTGAGTGGTGGTGGAATTAATATCAAACCCGGCGCGAGCAACCGAATCCTGTAACGTGTTGGCTGGTCCCGGAGTAGGGCTTTGATATCGAATTGCGCCAGAATCATCCGATTCAATCGATGGTGTGTTGCTTGTTTCTCGATCCAACTGCACCACAAGTGCAGGGAACAGGTCCCTGACAGCTTTGTCGCGTTCCATTGTGTTATTGTTTGGAGAGAGACGACGAGGTCAAAACTATTGTGTACAAGTGATCTACTACATGACTAGGATTATGCCGACATAATTAGTTATGACACAATAATCTTCTTCGGGTATACGATGTAAGCGATTAGTCGCCCAGCGCTGTGCAGGTAGTCGATGAGTCGTTCTGATCGACGTTGTTTGAAGAATTTATATCCATCTTCTCCCTTGGGAAAGCTAAAGCCTTCAAGGCTTTAGGTCTTTTGTATTGAAGGATTCATCTCAGATATCTGAGAATGAAACTAGATGAACTGAAGAAGATACACGGTTCCTTTGTCAAGATATAGTATGGTTCATGCACAACCAATGCATATTGATTTAAATTTTGAATCATATTGGTCTTTGATCTTTGATCTTCAAAGAACTTTGCAAATATCTTTGAAGATAGTTGATTATTGATCCATCTGGATTGCTTTGGACATCGGTTGAATTATTGTGGTTATACATATGTTGGTTGATACTAAGATATCTATTAACACACATCTAGGGACCAGGGATATTCCTTGTCAAATCAAGTCGAACGTACATTTTACTTTGTATATCCCAGTATCCCAAGATGGGAAAGTCTTCGACTATGAAGGAATCATGTCTATCATGTCCATCATGTTCTTCCTTTCCAAGGCGCTTAATATGAACAGCGTATTGGCCAAGAATTTAGGGCTACGCAGAAAGCAGAAAATGATCAAAGCAGAAAATCAAACCTGATATTTCCAGACAATTAGGCCCCAAGACTGGCAAGACTGGGCAGTTTAATAATAAATAAGTACACCGTATATTTACAACCAGCACATAAATTCGTGGGGCCGACTGATTGGCTTCAGAGCTGCAGCCTCTGCAGCCTGCGCAGCCTCCGCATCGTAATGCGTCGTGATGCCTCTTTCACATAAAATGCGTCGCACCCACACCATTCTCTTTCTTCTTTGCATTTTTCTTCTTCTTTTCCTTGTTATTGCTCTTCTTGCTTTTCTGGCTCTTCTGGCTATTTAATTCATCCATATTTTATTTCTCTTCCTAACTTTGCTTAAATCTCCAACTCTCCAACTCTCCAACTTCCCCGGCTTACGTCTTACGTCTTACAGCTTGCTTGCTTCTACCTAGCTTGCAGCTTACCTTTTGTTGAGCTATTATCATGGATCCTACTGTGGCTGAGGCCAAAGATGAAGTTATTCCATCAGAGAACTTGAACGGCTCTGCCCAATCGACAGAAGTCAAAGAAGTTAAAGATGCGGCTGTCGCCCCTGCACCCGAGACTACCCCAGCCTCTGTCCCCAAACTGTGCAAAAAACACAAGAAGAACAAGAAAAAAGAGGAGAGTGATAGCTCCTCTGATTCTTCTTCGTCGTCGGAATCTGACAGCAATGCTAACTCTGAGGAAGAATCCGATTCCACAGAGAGTGACTCCGATACTGAAAAGCGTAAGCGGCATCGACTACGAAAGGCACGTGCTAAGCGTGCACTTAAGGATAAAAAACGTCGCAAGAAGAAGAAGCAACGGTCGCGCAAGGCGGAGGCGTCCGATTCGGAATCTGACTCACCCTCTGAGTCGGATTCAGAGTCTTCTACTGACTCCGATGACGAGATAGATGACAAGGCGTTGCGGAAATTAGTCACTAAGCTCAAACTTAGCAAAAAGCGAGCTAAGAAGCTACGTGAATTGGCTTCTGAGGATCTGACCGCGAGCGATTCTTTGGGCGAAACTCGCCGTGAGAAGCGGTCGAAGAAGAAGAAGCCCGCTTCCAAGGTGGCCTATAAGCGGGTAGATCAATGTGAGTTTCTCATCTTCTAAAATTCTATTCCCTCAATGTTTCGTTGCTGACTTGTTATCTAGTATGGGATACCACAATCCACAAGTACAAGCTCACTGAAACCGTGGACGACCCCGATGCCGACGAATGGGACCAGTATATCTTCAACATCCGTCGCAAGTTCAACTGGGAGAACAAGTACCTCGAGACTGTCGTCGATATCAAGAGCAAACCTCTCCGCGATGCTCTCTCCAAGATCATGGATGGTGTCAAGGGCGTCAGTCTCGTGCAGGAGCCTGCCGTCGTCGATCCCAATATGCTGTTCCTGTACCTGGAGGAAACAAGGCAGTACATGAAGGATCTGAAGAAGCAGTCGCGCAGCGAGAAGAAGAAAAAGACCAGAAAGGCTGCTGGGGTCAAAGCTGCTCATCTCAAGGTTCTCATCAAATACCTCGACACTGACTACGCAGACACCAAGAAGACTCTCTACCCACTGCTCGAGGCCAACACTATCACCTTCGATCTATTGTGGGCCCTGTACAAGCCTAATACCATCGCTTACACCCCGACCTACGGCAGCACAGATGAACCACGTGCTTTCAAAATCGAGTACGCCATCAAGGAGTCCTCCTTCATGAAGGGCCAGTGGTACAGTGTCGATGGCCGTTACCTTGAGTACGACGGCAAAGACTACGGCTTCGGCACTATGTCCGCTGAAGTCGACTCCTTCAAGGGCGCTCGCAAGATCACCAGTCTCGCCTGCTACCCGCTGAAGTACCACCGCGATGCGGAGAGTCTACGTGCCCGTCTCATCGAACGCGGAAAGCGCTTTGTCTCCCTCCGTGGTATGAACTACCGCTTCCACAAAGGTATGGCCTTCTACAAGAAAAAGCGCTCCCTCATCATCAAGGTCAATATCAATGGTCGCGTTATGATCGACCCGGCTATCCACCGTCGTATCAACCCGAACTACCCCATCTCCACTGTCCGTCCTAAGGATCCGGATCTGATAGATCCCGAAGATCTTGGGATCAGCGGCGACGAGGGTGGTGACAGTGACGGCTGCTGCTGTGGTGGATCAGACTCGGACTCTGAGCATGGCGGTGCTTCTGATACCCCACGGACGATGTACAAGGTCGTTGAGGATACGGATGGATGTCCCCGCGTCGTGGAGGTCGAAGTCGATGAGAACGGCGCTGAGATCCAGAAGGAAAAGATGGACCGCATCGAAGGCGCCGCTGCTGATACCAAGGAGCGCGAGTTCACCGAGGAGGAGCTGCTTGTTGCCTCTCCTGTCGTTCTGGGCTTTGCCTTCAGCGAGAAGCTCTGGCTTGAGTTCACTATCTCTGGTATCAGCGATATCGAGTGGGATAAGGAAGCCTTTGGCTCGCTTGTCCTCCCGTCGAACCAAAAGTCCATCGTCAAGGCCCTCGTCGAGTCGCATACCTTCCACGCTGCCCAGAACATCGACGATGTCATCCAGGGCAAGGGTAAGGGTCTTGTTGCCGTGCTGCATGGTCCACCCGGTACGGGTAAGACCCTGACGGCAGAAGGCATCGCCGAGCTACTCCGTCGCCCACTGTATATGGTCAGCGCCGGAGAACTCGGTACTGACTCGCGGACCCTTGAGGCCGAGCTGAACAAGATCCTGGATATTGCGCACTCCTGGGGCGCAGTGCTCCTCCTCGATGAGGCAGATGTTTTCCTTGAGAAGCGCACTATCCACGATATCCACCGCAATGCCCTGGTCAGCATCTTCCTCCGTCTGCTGGAGTACTTCCAGGGCATTCTGTTCTTGACTACCAACCGTGTGGAGACCTTCGACGATGCCTTCCAGTCACGTATCCATGTCGCCTTGCGCTATGGCGATCTGACATCCAAGGCGAAGAGGAGTATTTGGAAGATGTTCTTAGAGCGCGTGCGCGCTATTGAGGGTGTGAATATCGCATCTTTCTCTGAGGAAGATTACGATATGCTTTCTAGGCACACGCTGAATGGGCGACAGGTATGTTTGCCAGGTTTTCTTTATTTTTCCCCGTCCTATTATATACTCCCCTTCTGGTCTACAGGCTAACTAATCTACCACCAGATCAAAAACTCCGTCCGCACCGCACAAGCTCTGGCCGTCAACGAGAGTGCGCCCCTCTCCATGGAGCATATCAAGCGCGTGCTAGAGGTGGCCGAGACATTCGATCAAGACCTACGCGGCGGAACGGGATACCTGGACGCCATGCGGAGCTATACTTGATTTTTTCTTGATTTTTCCGACCATCTCGAATTTAGGTGCACTATGGATATCGGTGCAGATCTGGTATTCAGCTCGCTATTTACTTTTCCTCGTATCTTGGCTTTTTGTGTTTGCTTGCTGTTTTCGGTTTATCACAGGTACAGAGTAATTAGTTGCCACGTCTCTCTCTCTCTCTCTCTCTCTCTCTCTCTCTCTTTGCATTGCGGACATGGAGCGAATGAGTCTGGCTAGTTTCAATACACGATTTCACTCGAAAATAGGTAAAGTTACAAGTCAGGATCGTAGTATAGACCGATTTATGGATTAGAATGGATTATCGATCTAGTAAAGAACATTGTCATACACTTTCATTATTACAAAAAAACAAAAGTCACGACGAGATATGGATGGTTGTACATGAAACTTTTCAAGGGTTGGTCTTGACGAAGTCAACACCCTTCTGGATGTTCTTCTTCAGGTCAGCGAGGCAGGCATCGAGGAGACCCTGCTCGTACTCGTTGATCTCGCCAACGGAGTGGATCTGCTCAACACCGTTGGGGCCGAGCTCGACGCGGGAAGCGAAGAAGTCGATACCCTGGTCCTTGTACAGAGGGGAGTCGACGAAGGTAGGCTCAATGACACCCTTCTCGCCCTGGGCGGCGCGGAGGAGAGACTCGGCGAAACGGGCACCGGCCATGGCCATGGAGAGGGTGGCGGAACCGGCACCGTCCTTGGCCTTAACAACCTCGTCACCACCGAACTGGATGCGGTTGACAAGGGCATCACGGACCTCGCCGGCGATGGAGGAGTGGTTGGACTGCGAAAGCAGGGGGACGATGGTCACACCGGAGTGGCCACCAACGACGGGGACAGCCTCGCCGGAGGGGTTGGTGCTCTGGACCTGCGAGATGAAGCGCGAGGCACGGACGACATCAAGGGTGGTGACACCGAACAGACGCTTGGGGTCGTAGACGTTGCGGGCCTTGTAGACCTCGGCGACGATGGGGACAGTGGAGTTGACCTTTAATGATGAATGCTTAGTAGGGCACCTTAATTGTGTAGTAATTATTGCAACTTACGGGGTTGGCAATGACCAGAACGTGGGCCTTGGGGGCGGCCTCAGCGGCGGCCTTGGCGAGGTCGCGGACGATGGAGGCGTTGGTGTTGAAGAGGTCATCACGGGTCATACCGGGCTTGCGGGGAACACCAGCGGGGATGAGGATGATCTCGGAGCCCTCGAGGCAGTCACGGAGACCGGAAGCATCGGGAGTGTAGCCAGTAACGGTGCTGTTGGTGTTGATGTGGCTCAAATCAGCAGCGACACCTAAACAAAGTCAGTTATTAGGTTGTGTTGAATGAATCGAAACATCATATTCGTACCGGGTCCACCGCGGATATCGTAGAGAGCGAGCTCAGAAACACGGGGGTTGAGCTTCAGCAGCAGCGAAAGAGGCTGGCCAATACCACCGGCGGCACCGAGAACGGCGACCTTGGAGGCCTGCGCGAGGAGTTAGCTCTAATTGGGAAGGTATGAATATATAGATTCACGCACATTGATAGCGGAGGCCGAGAAGGCACGCTTCTGGAAGAGGTTGGCAGTACGGCGAGCGGCAAACATGATTGATTCTGAGGAGATGAAGGGGAATGAAGAAAGTTGAAGGGGAAGGAGGAGATTCCGGTGAAAGAGATTGGCTGGGGGCTCCACAACAGTTTCCGAGCTCCCGATGCTCGGCTGAGGTTGGTACACTGTTTTTACTTCGATTTACTTCGATTAATGGGCTATTTTGTATGGAGGAGTTGTTCAATTAATTATTTATTACGAATTAGATGAAATAACAGTGACTTTAGAAGCAGAATAATATCTCATTTCCATACAAAATTGCTTATAATTCCATTCTCGGAGCAAAGGATGTAAGTATATAATGGACTTCGGCATGTGGCATCGCATCATCTTGCCAAGCTAAGTAATTATTTTCATGTGCCTAAAGTACTAAGAACGAAGAACTAAGAACTATTTACCAATGAGATATTCAGTTATAGAGTCTTGACGAGAAGCACAATGCTTTGAAAAAGGGACTAGCTTATATGCAATTGAAGGTGTGACTGGTAACTACGTAGTTATATACTACCCGAGGTCACAGGCAAACAAGTTCCAATTTCACCCAATTCCTACGATTTGTATAACTAGATAACTAACTAGTCAATGCCTTGTGATCAAGGATAAATTCACTTACCGGATCTCAACCCATGCAATATACTTGCATATTTCAAAGAATAATAACTAACAGTTGCATCTAGCATATAAGTATATATATACATTACGATACCACACTCTCACATAACCATAGACTCTTGATTGGCAATAACGACATCAATTGCAAAGACCAAACGCCGACGCTGATGAACCCAATACAAGATACAAGACCACGCCCTACCCAGGTAAACCCCAAGAACCCTCGCCAGCTCCCAAATATACCCACCCAGGCAGAGACCAAGAACACATGGTGATATAATCCTACCGCAAAAAGTGCAGCACTGCCCAGCAGAATAAGAAGAAAACCACCACTCCACCCCAGAAAATCCATTTATCCTGACGTGCCCGCCGCTCCACCATCCGGATTGTATCGCCGCTCACACCGAGGGTGTTAGCCACGCTGTATAGCCGCCGCTGCGTCCCCTTGAGTACTTCACGCTGCTGCCCTAGGTCGGCGAGGACCGCCCTTCCTCGGTCTAGGAAATCATCGAGTTGGTTATGTGTGTTGGAGAAGAACGATTGCTCGCGCAGCGCGTTGGTTTCGCGGTTGTAGTCTGCTGGGCTAGCACCAAAGCCAAGACCTGAGGATGAGGGCGCAAAGGCTGAGGTGCTCTGTGGGAGTGAGGACTGTGCATAGGGGTTCTCTGGTGTTGCGGCGTGATGTGGGCGACGGCCTAGGAGTTCATTGCGGTTGGTAACCGATTGCTGGTATGAGGGTCAGTATTAGAGTACCATATGAAAGAATTGCTGGACACATACTGCATCCTCACGTTCTTTGCGGAGTCGATCAAATTGTGTCCGGTAGTCTGCAAGCTCACTTCGGAAGTTCTTGATGCGGTCGAATGCCTTTTGTTGTTTCTCGGGAATCAGTTCCTTCTTGGAGAGCGCTGAGTAGTCGTCGACGGTGCGAGAAAGTGATGCCAAGGAGGCTGCAAGCTGGCCTAGGAGCTTGAAGTCAATATATTGGGCTGCAAAGAGTCGAGGGTAGGAGCGCACCTTGTAACGCGGGTGACGAGGTAGTTGGTGACTGTGAAAAGGTGTCTAGATCACGGCGGATGGACGAAGATTGCTTTAAAGCAGAGTTGAATAGCGAGTTCTGTTCATGTCAGTTTTGTGAAGCTATCGTGGGGAAGTGCAACATACCATGTTGTCAATGCCCCGTATAGATTGGACTGTTGGATTGCTTCGATACTCGGTAAGTTGTGGGAAAGGAAGCACTCGGGCTGGTAACGAGATGAGTAAAAGATAACAAGCTCCTAAGCTAGTGACTTTCTTTCGATAAACACCAGGGTGGTCATCAACTGATCCAACCGGACAGATGGTCTTGTTTGGGCCCATTCTGACGTAGTTCACCGCCTTCAGGTACAGTGCATTCTACACAACGTACATCTGCAAGGCCTCGAGATATTTTTAGATTCTGCAAGGTATCTCAAAGTTCAAATATCTATGAGTTGTGATCCCTAACAAACTACATTCGAAATGATCTGTCATATATGTTACAAATGCTAGAAATTCAAAAGGAAAATGATATCGTCGTTAAAAGGTACTGGTACAGTCAATCCTGATCCGACTCCATTTCCGCCAAATGAACAAAATGCAAAACCACAGAAGAGCTGGGATGGTATATCAAAACATAAAGCAATTAGGCAACACCAAAGAAAAAGAGAGGAAATGCCGCACATCTATTTGGGAGGGAACTTGTTCTGCAGGAACCACCTATGTCACGGATTAGCATCATTGCCCTACACATCGGCCTGGAAATATATCCTGTACTTACTTGCTGACGAAGTAGTCCACTGCACCAAAGACTCCAACAGCACCGGCAGAGAGTCCGACCAGCTCCCAGGAGAGGTTGCCCCTCGCGTGTTGCTTGTATGCACCGAAGCCAAGGCCTGCACCAACCACGGTTGCGATAGCGGCATTGGCAAGGAAGACAGGGTTGCTGGTGTTTCCATAGATGCTATTGCCCTTCACCTTGTGGGTCTTAGCCTCCTTCTTTTCCTCCTCCTCGCGCTTCTCCTTCTCCTCGGCTTCGCGCTCTATCCGCTCCGCCTGGGTGGTGGTTTGAACATCTTGCTTGAGGAAGTCGGACTCCACAGTTTGCACATGGGGGCTATCAACGTCGATCAACGAGGCCGTGCTCTCAGATTGATCGTGGTAGATTCCGCCCACTGGAGGAGCGCGGCTGGAGTATATGTTAGTTGTGGGTAAGGGATATTTGATACTATAGACAACTCACGCCTGTTATTTGTTAGTGCTGTAATCTCGATATAGGAGCTTGAATACTTACATCCTCGGGGGACTGCTTGGGGCCCTTTGCAGCTGCGTCGGCGTAAGACATGGTGTTGCGCGTGAGGTTAATAGAAGGTAATGGTTCTGAAGAAATCCTGGTCAACGGCTAGAACACCTAGAACAAAAGGAAATGTAAACCTACTAGGAACGGAATGTGGGAAGGAAGGAGTTCGAGGGGAAAGGAAGGATTTATACCAAGGAAGCTGGGGGGGTGTGACATCACGTCATTGACCTGGGCCCACTACCAAGATTCCATGGAGTTAATTTCCGCAGAGATGTTGATCTCATAGATATTGCTAGTATTTATATAGATTGCTAGCAGCATCTAATTTGTCTATTGAAAATAGTTAGTTCAAATAATAACATTTAGAAGATTTGATGTTAGAAATGGTCCTGTTCGGAGGCCTCAAGCCACATACGTTATCAGGTACTCCAACAACTTCAAACCAAAACATAAAAATGATGTAGAAGAAGTCGAGAAAAATTCCATTGAGAGGATTTAAAGCTGCTAAAGAGATCAAAAACAAATGGGACCTATGTAACGGTCTAATGGGGGAGGCAAGGTGTTTTAATACAGATTACAGATAAGTCAGAACGAGAGAGCTTTGCTGTTTACAGCAAAAGCTCCAGAGGGTTCTCGACGACCTTCTTCAACTCCTTGATCCATTCACCGCCAACGGCACCGTCAACCACCTTGTGGTCGAAGCTACCAGTCACAACGATCTGGTCGTCCCACTCGGTAACGGTGCCCTCCTCGGTCTCGACGGGGACAGCGACCTTGCGGGTGGTGCCAACAGCCAGGATACCAGCCTGCGGGGGGTTGATGACAGCGGTGAAGCGCTCGACAGCAGCGTTCATGCCCATGTTGGAGATGGTGAAAGTGCCGCCCTGGTACTCCTCGGGCTTAAGCTTGTTCTCGCGGGCACGCTTGCCGAGGTCCTTGATCTGCTTGGAGATGCTGGAGAGTCCGAGACCCTGAACGTTCTTGACAACGGGGGTGATCAAACCAGTAGGTGTAGACACAGCGACGCTGATGTCAGCGGTGTTGTGCTGACGGATGACGGCCTGGCCGTTCTCCTCACGCCAGCTGGAGTTAACCTGGGGGACCTTGAGAAGGGCAACAGCGCAGGCCTTGACCAAGAAGTCGTTGACGGAAAGCTTGTACTGACCCTCAGCAGAAGCGTTAAGGGCCTGGCGGAGCTTCAGAAGCTTGGTGACCGAGAGGGTGGTGGAGACGAAGTAGTGGGGGTTCTCGGCCATGGACTGCTTCAGACGGTTGGCAATGGTCTTGCGCATCGAGCTGACGGGGATATCCTCGAAGGTAGCCTCGCCGGAGACGGCAGTGGTGGCAGGCTTGGCCTTCTCAACGTCCTCCTTGGTGATGACACCACCACGACCGGTACCCTTCAGGCCCTTGATGGACACACCCTTCTCGAGGGCCAAGATCTTAGCGGCGGGGCTAATAGAGGGCTCACGGTCAATGCTGGGCTGGAGCTTCTCGTCCGAAGTCTCGGGCTCTTGCGCGGCAGGTGCCTCCTCAGCTGGGGCCGGGGTTGAGGGCTCAGCGCTCTTAGGCTCCTCCTTCTGCTCAGCGGGGGTAGACTTGTCACCACCAGCATCGGCCAGGGTGAAAGACTCGAAGGCAGAGACATCGGCACCTTCCTCAACAAGGACGGCAATGGGCTATGAAGAAGACAAGTTAGATTGATGAATCGATCCCCACGGAGAAACTCGGGAAATTTCTTACCGAGCCAACAGCGATATCCTTCTCGCCGCTCTCCTTGAGAACCTTGGCGAGGACACCCTCATCCTGGAACTCAAAATCCATCTGTGCCTTGTCGGTTTCGATCTCTACCAGGACATCACCGGGCTGAAGGACATCTCCGGCGTTCTTCTGCCACACACCGATGTTTCCGGCGGTCATTGTCGGCGAAAGTGCCGGCATGCTGATGAGTGTGTGGGGAGGGAAGGCTATGGATAGACATATTAGAATTGGTGTGTGGGAGAAAGGGATAAATCAATTGTCATACACTTGGAGGCATAGAAGCGGGAGAGGGCAGAGAGCGCAGGCACTTGGGTCCTAGTGAAAACATCATTAGTATCAACCCGCAATCACAATTGATATCAGTGGAACATACCGAATCACCTCCTGGAGCTTGGAGGAGACCTGGGGCCGGCGCATAGCGGCGGCACCTCTGGACATGAACATGGCGCTCGGGGTGCGCATCCGAATAGCTGACGCAACCATGGTGCCTGAGACTTGTTGCGATTATAAAAAGAAAGGAATAAAGGCCCTTGACGCTGAGATGATCTAAAAAAAAAAGCCCGGCACAGAGAAAACGTGAAGGGCCAAGAATGGATAAGGTTGGGGGTGGAAGGAGATGCCTCTAAATCACGAACTTTTCTGTTGAGCTACCTGTGGCTCCCGGTGAGAGGAGCGGCAGCGGCCTCTTCCGATATGGTCACGTGCTGTAATTTACAGTTTCAAGCTCCGGCCATGTACGGAGTATTGGTGCCTTTTTCACCGCCGTAAGTATGCACCTAAGAAGGCCATTGGAAAGCAATTGAAAGCAACCTTGGTAGGTAGATAAAGGACATACCTATCTGAAGGTAAACTATTATTATTATTATTATCATTATTTTGACTTGCAGCATCCCTAAATGTTCTATTATCAAGGATACACAATATGTGTGTAAGCCCGGATAGTACATACCTGCTAGTAGGTTTACAGAACCGGACGATCAACATTCTGCCAGACAAAAAAGGCCGGTGAGACCCTTTGGAATCTCCGGCTCCAGCCAATCTTTGGCTGAGGTAAGCATGCATTAGTCTCGATTCGGAGAAGACACGCAGCCCCCGTCCTTACATGTCATCGCGATTGTTTAAAGCTTCCCCACGTTTGCTCGTTCGATGTTTTTGATCTAATTAGATCACTCCGCCCGGAGTCTCCTTGACCATGGCGGACACCGAAGTTGGCTCTGAGCCGACCCAATCCATTGAAATGCCTGAGAAACCCGTCGAGAACCCCGATGTATCTCCTACAGTACCAAACTCCGCGAAGCCAACACTGCCCGAGCAGACCGAATCACAAGAACAAAACCAGAAGGGCGAAGAGGAAGTAGCCGAGGGCCATCAAGATGAAGAAAAACCAGAGGTGCCAGCTAAGGATGAGTCTGAACAGACTGAACAAGAACCCCAAACAAACGGTCCGCCCACGATTCAGGAACCTCCCCGGGAGGACAATGATGCGATGGAAAGCAGACTGCGATCTGATTCGCGGTCAACAACTGCTACATTTATGACGCAGCGATCTAGCCCCGTTAGCTCGACAGTCTTTATTGTGACGGCTTTGGACAATATTGCTGCTTCGCGGGACGCCCGGAGGGACAAAAAGCTGGAGGATGCCACACAGGTGGCCCTGGCTAATATCAAGCAACCCGATGGGCAAGCAATTGATCCGGAGCTTATCTTCCGTCCTCTGCATCTGGCTAGCAAAGCCCTTAGCATTCCTCTGCAGGTAACTGCATTGGATTGCATTGGAAAGCTGATCACATACTCCTATTTCGCATTCCCATCCGCCGAGACAGAGAACAACGCCCCCCGCGAACAACCCCCACTTATCGAGCGCGCTATTGATGCGATCTGCGACTGCTTCGAGAATGAAGCCACAGCGGTTGAAATCCAGCAGCAGATCATCAAATCGCTGTTGGCAGCGGTCCTGAACGATAAGATCGTGGTGCATGGAGCTGGTCTCCTGAAAGCCGTCCGCCAAATTTACAACATCTTTATCTATTCCAAATCTAGCCAAAACCAACAAATCGCTCAGGGGTCGCTCACACAAATGGTCAGCACAGTCTTTGATCGAGTGCGGACGCGGATGGATCTTAAAGAGCTCCGAGTGCGAGAGCTGGAAAAGCCATCCTCGACCCTTGATGCATCGGCGAGTGACGTGGGCCAAACCTCAGAGGCAGCTTCCGTGTCTGTAGCTGATCAGCCCGTGACCAAAGAGCCCACTGCCGAGAAGCTCACCTTGCAGAGTTTTGAGTCGCCTAAAGAGGTTACCACTGTCAACGACAATGCGCCGACTACAGTCACACGCGCTAAGCGGTCAACAACGAGGTCAATGTCGGGCATTCCCGAGGAGAAGGATGATGATAGCTCGGCTGAGGACGACGTGGATGAAATTTATGTTAAGGACGCTTTCTTGGTTTTTCGAGCGCTCTGCAAGTTGAGTCATAAAGTCTTGACTCACGAGCAGCAGCAAGATGTCAAATCCCAGAACATGAGATCGAAGCTACTTTCGCTGCACTTGATCCACTATCTCATCAACAACCACACCGCAACCTTTATATCCCCCCTGGCAGCAATCAAGAACAGCTCATCCAGCGTGGATGGAATGAATCTCCTTCTAGCTGTACGGCCCCATTTGTGCCTAAGTCTAAGTCGCAATGGCTCTAGCGCCGTGCCTCATGTCTTCAAAGTTTGCTGTGAGATTTTCTGGCTGATGCTGAAGGACATGAGAGTCATGATGAAAAAGGAACTTGAAGTGTTCTTGAAGGAAATTTATCTGGCTATTCTCGAGAAGCGCGGGGCTCCTGCCTTCCAAAAGCAGTACTTCATGGAAATTCTGGAGAGGCTAGGTGGTGATCCACGGGCTCTGGTTGAAATATATCTCAACTATGACTGTGACAGAACCGCGTTGGAGAATATATTCCAAAAGTATGTGATAGTGACTTCTTGGTCTTCATTCGACATGTACTAACCTTCCTAGTATCATTGAGCAATTGTCCCGATACTCGAGTGTGCCAGTTGTAACAACATCTTCTCAGCAGCATCAGTACCAAGAACAGCACACTAAAATTTCAACTATTGGTTCTGAATGGCACCATCGAGGAACTCTTCCTCCTTCGTTGACAAGTGCCCACATTGTCCCTACTCCACCGCCCTCGATGCCTCACATTCCATCGGAGTACGGATTGAAGCAGCAGGGTCTAGAATGTCTCGTGGAGATACTACGCTCACTGGACAACTGGGCCACACATCGTATT